CTTTAATTTAATATTTGCAAACAAAGAATTTTGGGCATAAAAAACAGAATTTTATGTGATGTTTTAGTGTTCACCTTAAAAATAAAATTATAATAACTAACTCAAGAGCAATTCCTCAGTGTTTTTGTCTACAAATAAAAAGGATGTACTCCCGTTGAAATTGTCAACAAGGAAAAATACAGAAAAGTTAAATAATATAGGAATTAGTTCCAGCTAACTCTTCCAACATTACTGCGAAACTGCTTTGTTTTCATGGCAGAGTTATGTCGAAAATCAAACTTTGAGAATAAATCGGTTTAACCTGACACAATAGGGCAGATTTCTAATCATCTTTTCTCATCGATCAGGAAACACCTAAAGGCCCATGACATTGACAAAACGTTATATTTTATGCAAAAAAGACAATAAACCTCTTTACCACCGCGAGGCTTTTATATTAACGATCGAATAACAAACATCGAAATGTCAAGAACGGATAATGGTACAACTTTTTCAAACACACTTTTGACACAATTATTCATGATAAAACATGTTCAACAAAGGTAAAGTAAACGTAAGTTATTTATAATTAATTATTTTTCTGTACAACTTTAAAGGAACATTAATATATACAGATTGTTACATGGTTAAATGTCAATACTGCCGTGGTGGATTCACTGAATAAAAATTGGAAATACAATGCCACCAGAACGAGATTTTTATCTTGACTCTTTCCTCAGATATTACCATTTTTGTTATTTTAGTCTGAAATCAGATTTGTTTACATAAAATCGTAATTTCTCAACTTTAGCGTCATTGAAATACAAATCTGACCTTTATTTCGCAAACTACATTAAATTTTCCAAAACGTAATAACATTTCCGTTGAAAAATTCGCGTCCCCGTATACACAGTAGCCGTTCAAAGAATAACAAATGGCAAAACCCATGGGTTTTTTTCGATGATTATTTTTATTTATTTATTTATTTATTTTTTATTTTTTTTATTTTTTTTTATTTTTTTTTTTTTTGTGCAATGACTTTTCCAATAAAATTTTCGGGGACTTCACTAAATTGCCTTATTTTAATATAAGTATTACAAGGGCACGTTTAAATTTATCAGATTTTTGTTACCAACTAATAAATGTTTTTATTAAAAGTATGTCGTATACTTAGGTTGCTGCTCTCTTTGGGTTCGATATCACGTTTTTCAATCGTGCAAAGGATATTTCACTAAGAAAAGTTCTACAAAAATAATACTTATAAAAACTTTAGTGAAATCCCCAAAAATTTTGATGGCAGAGTCATTGCACGAGCCACAATTGAGTATTTTTAAAAAAGAGAGCAGCGGCGTATCTAGCCGAAGATCGTGGGTTCGAATCCCGCTCGTGACACTAACTTTTTTATCTCAACTAAAAACCTTAATTAAATGAAAGACAAGCAGACCACGAAAACTAGTGATTTTAAAAAAACTTGGGTTTTGCCATTTGTTATTCTTCGAGCGGTACTGTGTATTCGGAAGCGCGAATTTTTCAACGGTAATGTTGTTATATTGTCGAAAATTTAATGTAGTTTGATAAATAAAGATCAGATTGGTATTTTAATAACGATGAAGATTAGAAATTACGTTTTTATGACGATGTTTTGTTTGAGGATCAGGGATGTGGTCCAAAATGAATACTGTTATACCTTGCCAAGCTTTCGGTTTTTTCTAAGCCTTCTTCACAGCTAAATACTCAGTCAGAAGTGTAAACAAAGGAGGCACGTTTTTTCCGAAAAAAACTCATCTGGTCATGTTTATATATAGTTTTTATTAAATTATTTATCTATCTATTTCCACACAGAAGAGCAATTGTACAAAGAAAATGTATGTACAGAATTTGACTGAAGTACCTCAACGCGCGTCCTTTGTTTACACATCTGACTGAGTATTTAGCCCTGAAGAAGGTTAGAAAAAACCGAAAGCTTGGCAAGGTATAACAGTATTCATTTTGGACCTCATCCCTGATCCTCAAACAAATCGTCATAAAAACGTAATTTCTAATCTGCATCGTTATTAAAATACCAATCTGATCTTTATTTATCAAACTATATTAAATTTTCGACAATATAACAACATTACCGTTGAAAAAAAAAAGCTTGGCAAGATACAACAGTATTCATTTTGGACTATGTCCCTTATCCTCAAACGAAACATGATCATATTTACGTTGGTCGATAAATCTCTGTTTGTTACGATTTATGTCCAAAAAATGATTTTAGACTAAAATCACAAAAACGTAAATACCTCAGGAAAGAGGATCGAAACCTCGTTCTTGTGGCACTGAAATACGTTTTATTTAGTGAATCCACCATGGCATTATTGACATTTAATCCTGTAACACCGTGAATAACGATAGAGAATGTAAAGTACTATTTGACATATTCAAGAATAAACGCGCCACCTCACATACTTGACAAGTTCAATATTGTTAACATGATTATGATAATAAAATAATTATGTAAAAGATATCAACCAGTCAGTCGCATTAAATAACATCACGCGTGACATGAACAGCTTTCATTTAAATAGGTTCCTTTATTAATATTTTCTAGCTTATATTTCATCGAATGTTCAAGGTCACTGAGAATTACAGGGCCATGAATAAATTAAATCAAGTTAATTGACTTTCACCTAAACCTTAGAAAAGTACGAACGCGCGATTAAACAAGCAGGCCAGGAAAATCAGCGTCGAAAATAATCTGGTGCATGCATTGCAGTTAGTATGATTTTATTAAATATTTCATTCTGATTTTCAAAAAAAAACAACAAAGGACAATTAAATTTTTACTGATTTTTGATGGTTGCTTCTTTTTTTGATGTTTTCAGTTGGGTTGATTGTTCATATTTTCCTGTTAGTATTCCACCCACTCCTTTCCGTACTTTCATCTAAACTTCCTTCGTTTGACCACGCCTTTTGTGTTATCCGAGGCATTTTCAATTCCGGTTAATCATGAAGCATCATCTGCTTCATTTTCGGAACGTTGAATTAATTCTGTGGCCTTAATACACTGTAACTATTTATCATATTTCATACCCTTTTTATTGTCCAGTCTCGCCAATTTTCCAGGAAAGTTAAAATTGTTTTCTCGTTGAGATTAACGGACAATTAAAGTTTACTGCTAGAATCATTCTTTTCTTTGAGCACATATCTTTCGTAAATTCACTTCTATATTTCAAATGTTTTTCCATTACAGATTCGAATCACAAAAAAAATTCAATTCTGTACTAAAACTGTATTAACTTATTTCCCATGGGGATACATTCACAAATAGCTTGTAAGAATGTTAAATTTACTTGATTATTCGGAAATCGTGAGATGCGGTCTGGTGTGATGTAGGTTTCAGAAAAACATTTTCTTTATCGTGCCAACGTTTCGATCTTTGAGATCATCTTCAGGGCCTAGGATGTACAGACATTGTTTAAATTTAACAAATACATGTAGGATGTGGAAAAAGTGAATTTATACAATGCAAAAAATATTTTGTATATTAAATTAAAGTATTTCTACTCATGTTTTCTGCGTAATTGTGTCATTCTTGCGTGTCGTGTTGAGAGTGCCAGTGAGATATTGCTGTTTTTGTGTTTTTTGTTTTTTTCACTCACTGGCACTCGCCAACGCATGAATGGCACAATTACGCAGAAAACAAACACTTTGAGTGAGTAGAAATACTTTGATTTAATATACAAAATATTTTTTGCATTGTATAAATTCACTTTTTCCACATCCTACATGTATATGTTAAATTTAAACAATGTAAATCCCAGGCCCTGAAGATGATCTCAAGAAAAAAGATCGAAACGTTGGCACGAAAAAGAAAATGTTTTTTTGAAACCTACGTCACACCAGACCGCATCTCACGATTTCTGAATAATCATCGACTAACGGACACTAATTACCACACACACGTTAAATTTATTATTTATCTGTTATGCTTTGTCATATTACTTATGATTTCATGAATTAAATTTTGTCATATTAATGTTTCCCTCAAAGGTTAAAACGTTTTCCATGCTTCTAAAGAGGTTTTGATCCCTCGTCCCAGACACCCAACGGAAGTTTATACATTAGGCCCTCATATGACAAAACTTACTTTACTTTAGCAGGTCTGGCATGTTTAACACGAATTTTGAATGTTTCAGATTATTAAAGTGAAGGAAGTAAATCAAACTTTTAACTTGAAATTTAATCAATTTTATTCTCTTTAAAACAAAAGACGGGAGCAGAAAAAAATTGATTGTTTCAATTCATAATTATAATAATTAGTAAATTACTTTTATAATTTCTAATATTTTTATATAATTAAAATATTGATGGCATTGTGATATAATTTTGTTTGCTTTCTGCAAAAATAAATAAATCTGTGTTTCTGACAAAAAATAAAAGACATGGCATATAGTACATATAAATACCGGCTTTAATTGTGACAGGAAGGGTTTGACAATACAAAAGCTCTTTTCTTTGAAAATGACATCGTTGAACTAATCCGTGGAATGAACTGTTTATATTCTCGGTGAGATTTTTTTAAAAATTATTATTAGATGTTTTTACAGGCGAACAGGTACATATTTTTTAGAAGTTCTTGTTGGAACGTAAATGACCAAATGTTATCAAATCACTCTCGTCGTTTTAACTGACCGCTGACTGTGCAAATTACCCGTGGATCGTTTTTCGTTAATTATACACTCATTATGAACGCAAACATTGACATATGCCGACCATGGAGCAGGAACAACCGCTACATTGAGGCCGAATGCTTAGTTACCGTCGTCGTAGGTAACAACTACTGGACAGGTTTAAAGTGTGGAATTTGCGGGAGAAATTAGTTCAGTACTGTTAATGAAATGTAATTCGATCCTTTAAACATTTAAAACATCGTTCATAATTATATAAGCTCGACATACAATTAGACACATTTATAAACATTCCGGCTAAAGAAAAACATATTTCGTAATATTACAAGAAAGGCTTGGAATACTTACAGTTAGCTTATTTCCCGACAGAAAGGGTAATGATCCGTGTGATCACAACAAAATCGTTTTTATTTGAAAGTAGTACTTATTCTACACCCTGTTGTGACAAACAAAAAATTAATAAACGTACATTTTCAAACAGAAATTATTTCCTTATATAAAATTTGGGGTTGTCAATTTTTAAAAAAATAAACGATCAACTACTAGTTCATCGTCACCTTTTTATTTGCTTGCATTTCTTATCGGGTTGTCCGGAAAATAATCAAGGTTTATGGTTATAATATAAAAAAATTAAATGATTTTAAACTTTTATTAATTAAAATACCCTCCATCACTATGTAAATACACTTCTCCTAATGATGATGACAATTTCTCTAAACCCACTGATTAGAATTTTAAGTCTTTATTATTAACAAATTCTGTAAACAAACTTTTTAACCAATTTTGATCAATAAATTTTTTATTTTGTAAAATACTTTGATTGAATATAATATAAAAAAATTGCATTGTATAAATTCAATTTTTTCCTTAATCTAAAATTTTCTAGCATTGTATACATTCATTTTTTCACATCCTACATGTATTTGTAAAATGTGAACAATGTTTATAAATCCCAGGCCCTGAAGATCGAAACGTGGCACGATAAAGAAAATGTTTTTCTAAAACCTACGTCACCAGTTCGCATCTCACGATCTCCGAAATTGACTAACGGTCACGAAACCACACACGTTTTGTAAAACGTTGTCCAGGTGTCTGGAAAAAATGGTAGTCGGTAAGCGAGAGGTCTGGTGAATAGGGAGGGTGAGGCAAAGCCCATAAGTCATAGCCAAGATTCAACCTTCTTAGTGATGTCACATGTGAGACCGGGCCGAGTGTTGTGTGTAACCGATTGACCAAAGATGACTTCAATAATGCCAATTTCTGGCACATTGCTTTAATGAAAGGGCAATCATTTCGGTTTTGCTGTTGTCAGGATTCAAGAAGTTGAACTAAATCAGCCCAAATGAAGCCCACCGAAAAGTAACCATCAATTGTTTTGGACGTGTTGGAAAATGACATGCTGCTTCCCGTTCATCCAGCCAATGTCGGTATCTTAGAGAATCCACTTTTCATCACAAGTAACAATTGTATCCAGAAAAGGTTCGTTTCTGTTTCAAAAAAGAAGTGTTGCGCAAACTTCACTATTAATTTTTTGCCGGTCGTTTAATGAGGAATGCATGAGGAACCCAAGTTTTGAGCTTTTTCGCCTTATCAATTGGGTTAAGTTCATCAGCAACGATCGATTTGTTAACTGAAATTTTTTTTGCAAGTTCTCGAAAAGTTTTTCTATGATTTTCTTTGACCAAACCATCACCTAGGGAAGAATTGCTTCAAGGCTATGGTATCCTCTCGAAATTTTTTCAACCATCTCTGAACAGTGCTTTCACTCACACTGCCGTCGCCCCAGACGTCATTAATGTTTCAGGCTATTTGGGCACCATTCCGCCCGAGATTAAGCTCGTAAAACGAAATTACGTGAAAGTCAAGCGTTGGCGTCTTAGTAAAGACTGAATTGTTCCCGAGTAACGAAATGCTATTAAGGTAAATAAACATTTTTGTTTGGAAGACGATTTAAAAAGTGTTGACATTCGTACAAAAGAATAATTCATTAAACAGTTTATTATATAACGGGGAAATGGAAAGAAAACAGGAAAAGCTGCATTATTTTCCGGACAACCCAATATTTGGCAGGGCATGTGCTTGACACCTAACAAATCTCCATATTGTCAACGAGGATGTGGTACTGCGGTCCATTAAATAGTCTTGTGTATCTGTATGTGATCTATTCTTAGTCTGCAGATTTCGACTTCATGCTTCATGTTTTCTATGGTTTGACTATGCTTTGTATAGCTCTTAGTTTATAATCTCCTAACTTTCTTTATTCCTAATTCTTTATCTTAAGAAGATTGAGATCAGAAAAAGATCAGGCCAATAAAATGTTTGTATCTATGTGATTACAGGACATAAAATACAAGCAAATAAAATTTTCACTTCGGCCTTAGTAATTGAGACAATAGAAGGAAAAAAATTTAGTTATCTTACTTTTTGCCATTTTTTCAAAGGAGGGAAAATAAAATAAAAAGGTGTGGTTGAGATTGTAAGTTAGTGTCCGAGTGGACCGAAGGTCGTGGGTTCGAATCCCGCTCGTGGCACTACTTTTTTATCTCAACTAAAACCGTCAAGCGGACCACTAAACTTAATAAAATGTAAAAATTAGGTAAACCATAAAAGGCAAAGAAAGGAACAACTACTTTAAAAAAACTACATAGAAAAACAATAATAAACTACTAATACTTGGTATATATATATTATATAGGTAAATAATAGAGTGGTACACTCGACGAAAGCAAAATTAATACTAAAAAATGATACTGTTTGTCATATACAGTTAATGAAAGAAGTCTGCATAATCATCTAACCTTTTTCTTTTTAAAAAAAAGATAAATTATTTATTACTTACTATAAACTAAGAAAAACTTTATATTTGTATTTGTTGAACCCAGCAAGGATGTGTTAGTGGGCTGCCAAACGTCAAGTGTTCATTGTTTTTTAAGTGAAAATTCTTTTTTTTCGTTTTTTTTTTTTTTCTTTCACGCATCTTTCTTGAACCGTGTATTATTTACATTTATAGCAACATTTTTATTATTGATTTAACCTACAACATGTAACTTAACCTATATACAATTTTTTTACTAGCTATATTTTTTTCGGTTTTAATTATTGTTTTTGCCAAAATCCAATTCGCTAGATATTGAGATCGCTGATCTCCTACGACCTAAATAAAAATGCCTTTATAAAACGGAACAATGGATAAAATGTTAGCAAATATTGAATATTCAGTTTTTTCCCCAAAAAAAGTCTCTAGTTTTCACATTGTTTTCTTTTGAGCTAAGTTGTACAAACCGGTGATACTTTTTAAGTTAGGACTGCGATCTGTACTAAAATAGTACAGAAACATTGCCAAAAACAAAAATTGTTTTCTGCCCAGGACCTCAGCAGAAAAAATTGTTTTTATGCTTTTTTCGATTTTTTATAAATGTATTTTTTATTCAAATCAAATAATGATGGGTTATGGTAGTGTAAAACTTATAATCATGTCGTAGGTTTGTTTCATATTAATTTACGGTACTAACCAAGTTTCATTAGAACTGAACTATCATAGTAATTGATATTCTGCCTATTTTTTAACCATCTTATTTAATCTTTTTGGGGGTTCCAATCTTCGTAGAGGTCACTAGACAGGTGAAAAAATACTAAATTTTGGGTTCATTGAGCTTTCGGCAACTGATGATGGCACTATAAAGTGCCGAAAGCTCGATGAAACCAGCATTTAGTCTTTTTCACCTGTTTAATGACCTCTACGAAGATTGGAACCCTAAAAGATTATCTGCAGGTCGATCAACGCACATCATATCATCTTATTTAATTTAATAACTTTGAAAATGATGTCGTGCCAAATTTGTCAAATCTGTTCAATTATGAAACGATATAAAATTGGAAACAAACAAAGATTATCGATCTTAAGCTATTCAGCAAAACGACTTTTTTCTCATATTTTACCAGCATCATTTTCAATGACAAAGTTTTATCAGAATAGGCTTTCTTCAATAATACTTCGTTCAAGTTTGGCTTTTAAATATTTTCAAGCTTTAAAAGATAGTTTTGAAGAGGGTCTAAAGAGAAAAAAATGTTGAACATACAACTCAAATACTCTACAACAAAGATAAGTTAAAAAAAAGAAATGAAATAAAACTCTTACCTTTTAAAAATTATCAGAATTAATAGTCGTTAAGAGACGCAGATCCCAACGGAGAAGACTTAAGCACAAAAAGTGGGACGGGTCTAAAATCAAAACAGGAAAGAAAATGACAACGTATATTTAACAAAACGACATTAAAAAAGGGGTTCTTCTGCCAGTACTGAAACAGATGGCCACATGCGTATAATATATTTTTTCGTACATGCTGAAAAATGTTTAAATTCAATTGTTTGTATTATTGAAAAAATATATGCGGAAGTAAATTTGAAATATGATTATGCGCTTAGCAAGTAGGCTTAATTTTCTAAAGGCCCCGTGGAATCTTTTTTTTGCGAAAAATTGGAACTTTCTTGACAGCTGATGTAAATGTAAATGTTCTTATCGCATCGATTTAAAATTATGTTTTAACGAATTTCAACTGAAGGTAGAAATTTTCCATTGAGAGAAAGATCTGCTCGAAAGAGTGACAGCAAGTCAAACAGATACCTCCCAACTTCCGCTATGTTTGGTCCTGATCACAATAGAGTAAAAATAGTTGACCAAAACAAACAAACAACATCAGTTTTTCTGATTTATCCTGTTTGTGTGTTAAATTTTAAACAAAAAACTCTATTCATACAACATTATCTCATATTAAAGAAAGAATTCAATCTTAAGAGGCCTATTCATTTTTTTTACTACATTTAAACAATGTATGAAATAAATGTATTTTTTTTCCTTTTATTTATTTACACCCGCCTCATTTGTTGGTCTTAAATAAATTTGATAACATTTTAGAGGATAAAACAAACAAAAAAACTACTCACTAGTAGTTACTCCTATATATCTATAGGAGATTAATCTTAATTATGTTAATCACTTTCCAGTGATAGAAGGTGCGGTATAAAAGGTTTTTAGCATGAGGGTTTGTATCACAGCATGATTGTTTGTGAAACTGTTCTAACGGTTTTTTGCTATTTTAAGGACATATTGGATATTAAAGTTATTGAGGATGGTAAGATGGATACATAAAAAGGAGCATTGACGATGGTTTGGAGATTTTGGTTTATAAAAATTGGATACGGAACGTTTTATTGGAGCCGAAAGTTTGATGCCTTATATCCAAATGAGTCTCAAAATAGTTATATAAATGAGTAGTTTATTTTTGAGAGACAGTTTTGATCGATTGTCCAGGAATCTTTTACGAAGTCGGAAACATATGTTTAGCTCTTATTTGAGTCGCCTGTGGGACTTCCATGTAAGTCGTTTATCAATGTAGATTTATGTTTGTTTTCCTATTTGTAGTAATTCATGATAGAAAAAAAAGGTTAGCCTCTCCATCTCTAAAAAATCGAAATAGATACCGGACCATATTCTTCTTCTAAGAGAAAGGTTAACGTCGTACAATGTTTTAATAAAGTTAAATACGTAGTTCCTTTATATTTTGGTAAAAAAATTAATTTGTCCCAAGTTATATATACGATATAAATTTTGTGAAGGTTATCGCAAAACCATCTTTAACTTTGAAGATACCCTTTTACATCAAATCTCTCTTTGCCTTTGCCTGAGTACTAATAACGCCAGAATTCGTCCTTTCTTTTAAAAATGGACGTTACCTTCGGGTTTTGCCAGCCAACATTTTACATTTTTCAGGCTTAAAAAAAACCTTGGGGCTTTTATTCATAATAAAAAGAAAATCCAACTCGACAATTCTGGAAAAAGATGCCCCTTGGGAATTAACGTTACAAATTTAAATAAAAAGCTGAAAAGTAAAATAAAAATTCGTTAGTTGTCGTATTTCTTGACGGAGAATGAAATAATAATCATTTTACCCCTTCGTTAAACCCTATATAAAATAATAAAAATGGTCAAGTCAATTAAAGATATTGAAAGTGTCCCTATCTATTAAAGAAGTTTTGTTCATAACAGTTTCACTTTTCTTTCCCACACGCTCCCGAACAAGTGCAGGAAACCTGTTATCTTCCAGCAGCAAGTTGATCGTAAAATTATTGGGTTGTCCGGAAAATAATGCAGGATTTTGGTATTAAACAAAAAAAAAGAAACTAGTTACTTTAAAGCAATGTTCTTTAATCAAAATANTGACATTCATACAAATGAGTAATCCTGTAAACGTAAACAGAATATTTTATATAGATTTTTTTTAATGAAAACTTAAAATCCTGCATTATTTTCCGGACAACCCAATACATTGAACATGCAAAGATTATTTTTGCGGAAAAGTTCGTTTTAGCCCACGTTTTGGCGTTTTGTTTATTAACACCAAACTATTTAAAGTTATTGATTCTGTCAACCGAACAAACCTAATAAAATTGTCAATTTTTCGATGCTCCCTTTAGTGTAGTCAACTATTTCGTACCTTTCCATTTCTTTACTTCAATAAATCTAAATTTTTTTAATATTTTCTGATACAGTGAACCTCTCCCATGTCGACATATGGATATTTTCCGACGTTATCAAAATAAATCGACTGATCAAAGAATATTATTAAATTTAATCTTGGTTGGTTACTTTGAACGATGCAGATCTTTTTATGTATTTATTTTTTATAATTTATCTTTGAACCGACCGTTAAATTTAAACATATTTTCTAATACTACAAAACATACTAATTGATTTATAGTACCTTGATTTTACAGATATTGTTACTAACATATCAATCAATTCCTCTAAATATGTTTATGTTTTTCCTTTTCTTCTCAAGAATTAAGCAGCCTTGTGGTTTATCACAAAAGGAATAGTTTTACAACTTTCATTGGTTCAACACAGCTAAAGCGAATCGTGTAGATTTTATGACCGCAACAAAGACTAAATAACATGCTGCTTAGGTGGTAATTTGTGAGGATTAAGTTAGACCGGCTATTAAATATTAATTGGTTAATAAAAAAGTTTTAGCCGCTTATTTTAATATCTGCTTTCCCATTACGAGATATTTTTAATGAATCGGTGGAAGTTTACGTTTAATTTTATTTATAGATCAATTAGGTTTGGTGGTCCGATTGACCAAATAAATTCTTTTCAATTAATTAATATTTAATTACGGTTTTGGCTGAGATAAAAAGTCAGTGTCACGAGCGGGATTCGAACCCACGACCTCCGGCTAAATACGCCGCTGCTCAACCCTACCGTTTGAATTTTCCCTCCTTTTTGCCATTTTTCAAATGTCGTGTAATCAAGATTCGATTCCCGACAAATGAAATGGCCACGGAGAGCTTTAGTGAAGTATACTTCTTTTTGCTTATTACATCTATTAGGTTTCGCGGTCCGATTTACCAAATAAATTCTTTTCAATTATTTAAACTTTAATTAAAGTTTGACTGAGATAAAAAATTGAAAATTAGCAAAAAGGAGGGGAAATTTAAAAGGTGGGGTTGAGATGAGAAGTTGGTGTCCGAGGGGATCGAAGTCGCGATAGCTCAAGTGGTAGAGCAGCGGCGTATTTAGCCAAAGGTCAAGGGTTCGAATCCCGCTCGTGACTCTGACTTTTTATCTCAGCCAAAACCATACATAAAGATTAATTAATTAAAAAGAATTTATTTATACAAACGCACGTTCTCTGAACAAATGTTTAGTCGTTCGTCTAGGTGAGCGACTCTGTACAACTTTGCCCATCCTGCAAAATACTTATAAACCGATTTTTCGCGCTCTCTCTCATACACTCAAAGACAAAGCCGGACATCTGTATTTATTTGTTTATTTTCCATGATAACTAGTATAAAGGTTAATGGTAGCAATAGCCAACTTGTCGAGTGAGTAATTTTTTCATTGTTTTCTGTGGTAAACCAATAAATTTGAGTAAAAATTAATATTTTTGTTTTCTTAAAAGGATAGCTTTAATTCGAGAATATCTCGCCCGAGCAGACGCTTTGGCCAAGGATTGACGTAGCAGTCACGTAGCTCGTACATAGACCGGGCGCCGGTGTACCACATTCATCCACGATGGTCTACAATGGTTTAGGACCACCGGAAGTGTCGATCGAAAAGAAAGTAGTGGTTGACAGCGATTTATGACGACAAAGACGATCGTTTTATTGCTATTAAAGAGTCATTTAACGGTTTCTTTGATAGGTATTCAATTCCAAACGGTCCGTAATGTAAGGGTGAGCTCCAAAACAGTCATCAGAAAGTTTCATGGAATAGCCTGGTCTCTAGACCTCAAGTATCTGGTTCAATGTATACTGGAGAGGCGACGACTAATCCACATCTCGCTTGGACACTTGAACAATGGGGTATATTCTCTTCAGGAAGTTAGTTATGGTATGGGGTGGAATCAACCTCTATTCCCGTACCGAACTGATTATTAAATAGACTTTTCTTTTGAGGTTGTTGTTAAACAGAGAGTTCGTGTGCGAGAGGAGGAACGAGCCGTGATGAGAAGGATTAAGGACGAGGACGTGGGTCGAATTTTTCTTTTCTTTTATGCGATTCTGTTTTCCGACCGTGTCGTATTGTTATTTAGGAAGAGAACTTGTTTTGTTTCTTTTTGATGTACAATTTGTCTATACAGAGGACATTGTTATTAAATTTTTATTGTTGTGTTTTTTGTAATCCAGGGAACAAATAGAGGTGCCCGAGTTTTGGATGAGAGATGGAACCACGGGAAAATTTACACTGTGTCCAGGTTGCCCGGAGGTGGTTTGTCAACGGCATGACGAGGAATCTGTACAAGCTGTTCCATTCGATCCATTTATTGGGGACAACTTTGTGTTAATGCGTGATAATCCTCGACCGCATGTAGCTCGACTTGTCACCCATTACTTGGAGGATGAACGGATTACCACAATGAATTGGCAAGCACGTTCTCCTCACATGAATCTCATCATGATAAAGATGTCGGGATAGAAATTTTTCTCTGCCTTCAACAAGTGCTGAACAGCTTCAAACCGCTCTTTTTGAAGAATGTACGACATCCGAACGCTTATTTATTCGATGCCTAGAGACTTAAAGCCCTCTGCGATGCCAGAGCATGCACGAAAAATGTTGCATATTTTCTCAGCCTTTTAAGTCACAGACCTGCTCGAGGTCTCATTTTTTAGAAAATTTAACCCTGAACAAGATGGCTTTTTAAATATTTTCCCAGCTTGGTCGTTCATCAGTAAATTCAAACATTCGGGAACTTGTTAAGTTTTGCACTTTTTACGAAAAATTCAAATTGAACTGTGGAGCCTGGAAATCGTCGTTGGTGCTGCGCCC